AGTCAATTTTAAAACACCCTGATGTGCTAGAGTGCCGTCCTGATTATTCCCTGCAGCGCAGCCATAGCTTCCGGAACATGCTATGCTCTGGGCCCCCACCAGCCAGCAGGGCCCATCAGCCATCCTCACACAACTGCAGGTGGCCGGAGCCTAAGTAAAATAACAATAAACTTGTGCTGGTCCTTCGTAACTTTCCTCAGGCATGTAACTGCAAGGAAGGACAGAAATTGGTGGCTGTTATTGCACTGTGTTTTGAATACACCCATCAAAACATTAAACCAAATAGGAATGCAATTTTTAAAATCTGTCTTAATAGCAAAAATGTGTTCGATTTTTTTTTTTTAACTACTTCAAGTGTGATATGGGGTCAGACCCCTTAATGGGCAAAAGAGAAGATCGTAGAAATAAACAGACCCAGTGTATATTTCTTTGTATAAATCAGATTATAGCGCATGCATTCCTCGGCACCTTTCGTTTATTATCCCTTTGTGGGTGTATAAGTTTTGCAGCATGTGTGAGGTTGTTTTCAGAGTCTCCGGGTCCAATCCCACCCACCGAGATCCCGTTACGCTGTTGTCCGTTGTAACTGAATCCGCAGCATCAGTATTAAAGAGTCAGCGAGGAAGATGGGGCTAGAGCCACAGCAAACAGCTGGATCTGCGGTAATCACCTGCACTGGGCAGCCCCTGGTTCTCATTTATAGGTTAAGGCCCCATTTGCAGGGTCAGAGCTTTCAACAGAGGCTGTGAATTAAGGTGGGCAGTGTTACAAATTAGAAACTCAAAGAGGATTTTTCCAACCCCCCCCCCCCAAAGAAGAAAAAAAACACAAAAGACAAAAGGTTAAAAAACAACGCGTAGCAATTTATGTGGCTGGTGTAATATAAAACAAATGCAGGTTCTCACTCAGTTCAATCCCAAAGTTACTCTGGTTGTCTTAACTAAGTTTTAGGTCTGTCACTTTTTATGCACATCGTTAAGGAATGCTTGCTGGTCAGTAGGATTTCTGGAAGACACTGGAAAACTGCACCTCGCACCTCATATCGGGGATGAACTGCCAAACATGGAAACATGCCAAGACAGAGCAGTGGGTCAGATTCCCAGTTGTCTATTTTATTAACTTTGTTATCTAACCACAAAGCCTTTCATATTTTATTTGTTGGGACACAATGTATCTTGAGTCAGATTCCAGTAAGTACATGTTCAATCAACTACCAGGTGCAGTTACAGTATGATGGGGGAAGGCAGATCTTTATTTAACTGCTTAACTGTCATCCAGCACCCAGATAGCGACCAAAAGCCAAAGGAGACCATTTGGACAAGAAAAACTGGGTGTTTCATTAATGTCAGGCCAGACAAGTGGGCTGGCAGTCTGGCCTGACAAGGCAATGATTCTATTGCAAATGGAGGCTGATATTTCTACCTTATCCCCTTCATATCCTGGGAATTTTCACTGAATGTTGAGGTCAAGGTCTGACTCACGATAATCTTTGGACTGCCGTCTTGGGATCGTGCCATGGGGATGGCTTAATTAACGCAACACGGGTGACCGCTTAAGTCATAAAACATTCCAAATTACTCCCAAGAGGATCAACAGGCACCTCCCTTCGGATTCTGCCAGCACCGCTGGGAGCTGCAGGTAATCATTATTCAGAAGACAAGCTGGGTTCAAGCTGGTAATAAACATTGGGCCAGTTCTGACTCCCGTGCTGAAGTTCTGCTCATCGGATTAGAGTCTGTCATAATGCTAATAGGATCTCAGCTGAGTACCCACATGTATAAATAGGAACACGCACTGAGTTAATCATTGTCTTCACTAAATCTCAGCACTGAAGGCTCACGTTTGAACATCTCCTGGTAAAAGAAAGAAAATTCGTCATCTTGGATAGATAGATAGATAGATAGATGATAGCTTTATTAAACCTAAAGTTAATTGTGTAGTATTGCTGTCAGTTGATTTCTTCAGTTTTTTTTTCTGCTTTTAAATGCATCTTAGATTTATGTTCAGATTTCAATGTATAGTCAGAAGCTGGTGCAAAATTCCTCATGAAATTGTGTTCTCTGCTTTCATGTAATATGTTAAATAGAACACAGAAAGGGTTAAAAACGATTATGGTCAAACCTAAATTTGCATGGCTGTCGAAGCTGCAAATTACTTAAAGTTAAATTACTTCATTACTGGAGGACCAACGGAGATCAAAACATCTTTAGTTTCTGTTCTGGATCACTGACCAGCAAAGAGCTCATGAAGGATATTGTTTGGTTTGGGCACCAAAAAAAAGCATCACACAGACATATTGTCTATCCGGGAGTTTTGAGCAGTGCTAAAGAGTTGATAGAGAGACCATGAAGAGGTCAGAACTGAGAGAGGTTCTCATGCTTTGTGTGGGTGGTGTGCAGGTCAGTTTTTAGGATGCCATGTCTTGGTTGGAAGGTTGCCAGTTCAGATGCCAGACTTGTTGTGCCCTTAAGTATGCATTCTCCAAAAAAAAACTATGTTGCTTTGAATAAAAAACTGTAATATAAATGTATCACCTTTGTGCTGGGAAGATCCTCTGGAGGATCAGTCTGTTGGGTTGGGTTTAGGCAGGTGGGTCTGAGGTACCTTGGGTTTGTTACATCATAGTGAAATTCAGCCCATTTTTGGATGTGAGCTGGCCAGTGGAATAGTCTGGAATGGACAGGGTGATTTCCAAATTCAGCTCTATTATTCAATTGAAAACATTCTGTTTCTTTTATTTCTTGGGCAGGGGGGTTTAGTACACATGAGGGGAAAATAAACAAGGCTTATTTGACTAGCGATGACTTTTAGTTGTAGTGACTTGTAGAGCTTACGGTATTAGTTTTATGATACCCGTTAGTCTCCAGCACTTTAAGCATAGCTGTGGAACACAAAAGTAAGTCTACTTCTGTTTCAGGGGCCCAAATCCCTTTAGCCTAAAAGTCCAGTATTTCAGCCCCGTTAGACCACGGAAATACATCCGTATGAATAAGAATTACAAGTATAGGTTATGCTTTATGACTGTATAAACTGCTGATGAAGATAAGACGTGGTTCGGGTAATATATCAAGCGTTTCCTCTCTTAAATTTAACTCCATATAGGCCTACATAGAAATATCCTTTAAAGTTATTTTTTTGTTCAACTTTGTGCCGTCGTTGCAAACGAGCAGCTTCTTAGCGTTAGCAAGTGTACGATTAAACTAAATTAGCAGACTTTAGTTATCTGCGTGTGTTATTTTTATCTTGCATTTAACGAGGGTGGACTTGCCTTTTGTGTAAGTAAACAAGAACGTCTTTAAAAGTTCAGCAAGAAGGTGGGGGGGGTGTATTCGTGCTGAGGACGAAAACACAGGCGAGTTCCAGTGTTTCCATTTTTCCCTGCATTCACTTCCAATGTAAACTGGAACAGAAACGTCTCCTGGTGAAGGCGGTGTAATGTTTTTGGAAAGTGGCCCTTCACAGTTCGCTGTGCTTGTAACACGGTCTCATTTGGACACACAAGACACGTTTCTGTCTTTTGGGTGCAACTCCGCTATGCTTTTAATTGCACGGGTCGATGGCGCGCCCCCTAGTGGTGCACACTCAGAATGCCGATCTCTTTGATCGTTAAAACAAAGTTCAAATCCTCTTAGCACTGGAGTTGAAATCAGATAGAGGCAGGAAGGCCGACCGGAGACTGTTGGCTGTTTTTACCGGGACAGCACGTCCTGCTGAACTGCTTAAGGACATTAGTTACACCCACTGTAAACTGCTCTTACAGACTAAATCGTGGCCATTTTTGACAAAATAAACCCAGTGTTCGGAATTTACAATGAAAAAGAAGAAAAACATCTATAAAAATAACGTGCATGTTGAAACAGTTAATATTCGCAAAAAAAATTAATCCACGCACAATATTAATAGTTACATAATAAATAGTTATATTGACTTCTACTACTATATTAGTATAACTAAAAAATATCTACTTTAGGACCACCAGTTTGTAGATCTGCAAAGGTGGCATTAAGTTGTATTTGACAATATATCTAATTGTACAACATATTCATCAACATGAGTACTATACAGGACTGGACTTGGATTTAAAATCGGCCAGGGGTGCCATGAAGGAGGGGAATTTAAAGGGGGCCTAAAATATTTGGAACATAATTGGATTGGTCTGGGGGCCCAATACTATGTGCTTTCATGTGGCTTAACGTCGCGAGCGGCGCCTCTGTCCCCGTGGTAAATTTTGACGGGAAAGTGGCTGATATGCTCGATGGCCAGTCCAGCCATGCTATCGTATAACACACAAAGAAGTAGCAATACAAATCTAGTATTTCAATTTCTATGTATTTTCTGTCTCCATTGGCGACTGTATTGTCCATCCATCACCTTTCTGTTCCCGCTTGTCCTATTCAGGGACAGAGGGGTCTGGCGTCTATCCCAGAAGCTAAACATTGTCTTTATATAAAATCCTAATTATTACACTGATGTCAAGATATACTCTAGTTGGAATTGTAGATATTTAAGGTATATGATAACTACAGTGGAGTCACAGTGTCTACAGAAAGACCGTGAGACTGGATCCAACCGGTAGAAAGTGGAACGGTCTTCATGTGCTCCTGTGGATCCTTTCAGATCTTTCCGTGTCTGAGGTCCAGCCACAATGAGGGCCCTGTTGCTCTTCGCCGCTTGTGTCTTCTCCTTGGCCCCCCCATTTGATGTGGGGGCAACGGGGCTTCCTGGGGACGCCCTCAGAAGTGAGTTTGGCTTGCTAATGCAACACAGACCACTGCTTTTAAGAACCGACCCCGTCCCCAGACATACGGACACACTCACACCTCAGGTCTGCACACCCCCTGCTACAGCAGCCCCCCATGAAAACAACCCAGATTTCCCCCCCCCATATCAGCACCTCAGTCAAACCTCAAAAGTCCATTTTGATTAATCCAGACCCAAAACCAACATGAATATTATTCTTTCATTCCTGAATGGGTGTCAGAATTCCACCCCCACCTACTCATGTTAGACATGTCCTGAGCCCTGTGTGTGATGTTTGAACACCGGAGAGGGAGTTCAGGAATAACTGTGAAAGGGACCTTATTGCGCACTTTATGGGTACCGACCGATCCCGCTTCAGGGCTGTCGCAGATCGGCGAGAAATACGTGGGCGAGGAGATGAAGAGGGCACTGTTCGGTGTGAAGAACATGAAGGAGGTCATGGAGAACAACGACGATAAACACAGGCATCTCATGAAGTCCCTGAGGCATAGCATTGATAAGAAGAAGGTTGGAACTTCAATCTGTAGTTATCTTACACAAAATACACCTCACACACTCATTAATGAAGCTTTGCATACCAATTGGCTCCTCCATGGTAATGCTGTTTCCCTCTCAGAATTACATCACTTCCTGTTGATAGCTGAGGTCATGGGATCATGGCTTGAGATGCTCCCCACCTTTACCTTTCCACTCCCGAATGTCTCTCCTACCATAACCAGGAGGTGGATCAGCTTGCCAAGGAGGTGGAGCAGAATCTGAGGGAGGCAGAGCAGCAGTGTCAGAGGTCCTTGAAGACCTCCTGGGAGAAGTGCCAGCCTTGCCTGGAGGACACTTGCAAGACCTTCTACACATCCACCTGCCGCCGGGGATTCTCCTCCTTCTCTTTCAAGGTACAGATCAGGAATTATCCCACAGCTACACCTAGATCCATGAGGAATCTACATATGTTTATATGTGTCCTTTGATGTTAAAGTCACATTGATCTGGTCATCACAATAAAGCCCACGTGACTCGACTTGATTTGACCAACCCTGATTTCAGGTGGAGGAGTTCTTCCGCAGGATGTCCTCCCAGTTTCTGTCCTTTGACAGCCAAGATGAGCCAGGTCAGCAGAGCTCAGAGAGCCCAGATGGGGACCTACAGTGGGTGGAGGACTCCTTCACAAGCCTGCAAAACAAGGTCTATGACCTCTACGACAAGGCGGTTATGCTGGTCTCCAGCATGAGCAAGGAGCTTGATACTGCCTTCCAGGCAACCTTCGCTGCCAACTCCACTTCCAGACTTCTCTCTCCAGACCAGTCCGTCCTAGAACCTGGGTTCTTCCAGGGCATCAGGCTGGACGACGTGCTGGAATCCCTCTTCGACTTCGGCAGGAGTGTCATCGAGGAGTTCAGCTCCGTGATCACCGACGTCTTTGACCAGACGCCACAGGACTCTGAGCGGGTCTCAGAGCAGCAGACAGGTGCCGTCGATGTGTTGCTACAGAAACCAGTGCCAATAATAACAAACCCGATAGTTTCAAAGCCATGTGTAACAATATGCTAATATGCTAACAACATACCTACCAGGAACAGGGATACTCCCAAGCCGGGCTCCTTCCCAGAGTAGACAGCTCTGCAGGGATCTGCGCAGACAGAGTTCCGAATGCTGGCAGCTGCAGGACCACTGTGAGTCCTGCCAGGGGGCACTGACTCATGGTATGTGCATGAAATGGTGGTGGAATAAAGTCTGCAGTGATAGACATCAGATAATTCACTGCATTAGCGTATCAACAACTGATTATATTCCATTCTTCAGTAACCTCAGTAAAATTCTACATTGTGTATAAATATATATGGATATATATTATATATACATATAGTACCAGCCAAAAGTTTGGACGCTCCAGGCCGCCGACAAAGGAGAGTGCTTGTGGTGCATCACATGACCTGGCCACCTGACCTAAACACAGTAGAAATGGTTTTGGAGGAGTTTTACCAGATAGTGAAGGAAAAGCGGCCAATGAAGGCTCAGCATATTATGGGATCTCGCTCAGGAGAGCTGGCAAATCATCCCAGGAGGCGCCTCAGGAAACTGGCACAGAGGAGACAGTAGGGGCAGCCAGTCCGTGGAGCAATTGGGGTTAAGGGTCTTGCTCAGGGGCCCAGTGGCGGGACCCAGGGATTTGAACTGGTGACCTTCTGGTTCCCAAACCACAGAGCTGCCTCATCCCCAGCAATAAATAACATTTTTGTTCTTCAATGCTTTTTTTAGTCAGTGCATAATCCATATATGTTATTTTATAGTTCTGATGTCTTTAGAATTATTCTAAAATGTACATATAAACTTTTCTATGGGTGTTTCCAAACTTTTAACTGATACTGCAAACACATGCACTCACATCAGCTTTGCGGCATTTTATCCCCAATATAGGCTATTTATACAGCACAGATTTTGCATAAAATCTATGATATCTGGCTTTCCGTGGCTAACATGGACAGGTATAAAACTACTTATTAATAACTGCACAGCTGTAAGGAAAGTAGCTGCTAGGTTAGACGTACTAGCGGGTGGCTAGTGTTTTGGAAAAGCTATTGGTCTTTGTTCTTTAATTTTTTAAATAAAGACGACTCAAAAGCTTCTGAATTTCTTAAAAGTAATACGTGCGATGAATTTGCATTGTGGATGAAGGCAATAGTAGCACAACACTGCCATCTACTGGTCCACCGCAGAGTGCCCGAACGTGAGGGAACTGTCCACGGAACTGAACGAGGTATCCCGGCTGCTCAACGAGTCCCGGCAGCAGTACCAGGAGATGCTGCAGGTGGTGCAGCGGCACGCGGACGACACCATCACCTGGCTCACCGCCATGGCTGCCAGGTTCGGCTGGGTGGCCGAGCTAGTCAACGGAACCAACGTCGACCAAGACATTTTCACCATTGCCGCTGTACGGATCCTTCTGATTCAATCAATCAGTCAGCTATTTAAGTGTCTGTTTGGTATATAAGCCTACAGCACTTAATAACCCTTGCCGCTGCCATTCACTGTATTTGTAGTGGCTCTCAGCTACGTAAACACGGTTTCTGAATTTATTAAGTATTTCCGAAAGTGAGGTTAAACACGATTTGCCTTTGGAGATTTGGCACGCAGGCAAAACAAACTTCCTTTCAACTGCGTGCAAAAACACACAACGGGACACCTGAAAAAACAGCGACGACCCACGGGGGGGTGAAGGAGAGAGACATGGGAAGGCCGAAAATCTCGGGGGCCTGTCAGCGCCCCTGAGAGGTTGTGGAACATTGTTTTGGAAATTTCTCATTTAAAACTGCCAGATTTCCTGACTGGCAGGACTGAAGTTAACATGGATCTTTGAACCAAATAGGGATCGTGGGTAGTGTAGTGTAACAATGCTCTGATTCATTATCATCAGTTAGATGATCATTGGAATAAACATACTGTTCATTTGCATGCTTAAGATGACAATGGTGAAGATGTTTGTGCTCAGCGAGATAGAGCAGGGCTGTACTGAGATTAAAAATCAGCCTGTACAGGCTCACCACACATACATACCTACAATAAAATTCGCCAGTGCGGGAGGGCAGAGGTGTCTCAGCCTAACTCACCTAGAAAAAGCCTGATGTGCCAGATGGTCAGTCCAGCCCTGACTTGGAATGACTGGTTTAATCTCTCAGGTGGTACCACACAACGAGGATATAGGCAACGGCACAGCCTTGGATACCACGGTGGAGCTGAACATCCTGAGCTCACCTAAGCTCACCCTCTACGTCCCAGCGGAGCTGCAGGTTGAAGAGCCCGCCTTCATTCAGTACCTGGTCAAGGACGCCCTGGACCGATACAAGCAGATGGTGAGGTAAGCCACACATCCGTGAGCCAGCCAAGAGCTCCCTCTGCTGGTTACAGGTTCATCAGACAATGGAGACGGTTTGGGACAGTCACTGTATTAGAACGTCTAGTTTAGCTTGGTCTTCGTCCTAGTTAGTTAGTCCTCAAGCAAACAGGAAAGAGACCCCAGGCCCTTAATCGTATGTGCTAGAATTAAGTGTTCGGCCAGTTAAACCAGTGGATCGGTTTTTAATTAGTGTAGTACCCGTTTCACCATTGCTTTACCTATTTATTGCTTATTTATTGTCCAGTCGTTCAAATGTTGCACTGCCTTGTCTTTTATTGCACTGCTGTCTGCCCTACTGTCCCGCCATGCAGCTGTCCCTTACACGGGGACTCCGGCTTATTTATTTCACTGTGCTTTTCCGAACACATGCAACAGAAAAACAAAATACAAAAATAAAGATTGATGACCTTTTATTGAAAATCCAGATTATCATGGAAGATGCTCAGTGTATATGCTTTGTCTCTCTCTGCAGCAGCTCTCTAGCCTGAGAAGAGGAACGAAGAACTTTGCAGCTGGTCATTTACCGAAGAAAATCGTCAGCTTTTAGTTTCACCGTCACCCTGCAGCACTAAAATAATTTTAAAACGTATTTTAGCAAGTGAAAATCTACCTTATGTGCAAGATTATCTCGAAGTGATGAACAGGCAGGAAACAACTGGGATTCGTCGGAAAATTACAGTTGCAATAATTTCTACTAATATGTTATCGCAGATGATTAAAACGTAGACATTGTGCATGCTAACAAAGCGCAATATAAACCCGGCAGTGGAGCGTAGGGTTTTATTATCTGGTTCTCAGTGGATTTCTGGAAATGTGAAATAAAGTGCGATGTCATTTGTTAGCCTCCACGTTACTTTTCTACGAATATTTCTGTTATTATTCCCCAGCCGGCCCGGCCGCCCTAGGAGGGGCTTACGGACGGGCGCCTTTTTCCTTCGTCCCCATTGGCGCGATGCACGTCAGAAAACCCGCGATTTTCGCGCACAGCATCCTGCAGACAATCTGCGAGCTCAGGGACGGAGATTCCCCTTCATCGCGGTTTGGATTGTAGCCCCCGAAGCGTTAAAATGCCCGCCACATCGGAGGTGCACGGCACCGTGCACGGCGAGCCTGACCGCCCGCCACAGGCAGAATCATCCCAGATGTTCCGCGACGAGCGCGGCTATCTGGACCAGGTTCGGTACATAATGCAGCACGGGACCCGGAAAGGGGACCGAACCGGGACCGGGGTAATCTCCTTGTTCGGGTCCCAGGCCAGGTACAGCCTTAGGGGTAAGTGGCTTGCTTTCATGGAAACCATATATAATGTCTGAGACAGCAGAGACGCTTACGCAAGAAGTCTTACGTCAAATCTATATTATTCCACTATAAACTTTAAATTAGATACATCAAAAGCGTTGGGGTAGTTTGCAAAACCCTACGGACTATTTACAAGGTAACAAAACGGTTATATACATAAAAATGTATGCTGACTTGTCTCGAATTGCTAATCTCACTCCAGCCAGCTGAGTAAAGTTGGCAACTCTGCACAAAGGCCATCACGCGACATGTTCATATTTAACAAATACATATTCAAAAATGCAATCACATCCAATAAAGATTTTAACAAGTACAAAAGCGTTAGGTTTTATAGTTTCAAAGTAATTCATCCGCGTGTTTACGCTGTTGACATTTCGATCCAGCCCCTTCTTGTTTTCCCGCGACATAACGTCAGAAAGGGGGCGTGTTTCCGACGGGATGTGACGTTTTTCATGACATTTTTTTAATTTTAGGGGCGCACAGCATCCCCTGGTGTGGCGGAGGGCGTTTGCAGGACGGCAATTACATGGGGGGGGGGTGTGCACGCGCACGCGCACACATAAATTCACACACACAGAATTCATGTATTCCTGTCTTTATGGGGACTCTCCATTAATTCCTGTGGGCATATCCCTAATCCCAGCTATGACATCATTAACCACTACGCAGCCCTAACCTTTCCTATAAGTAACCAAACAAAATACAAGAATTTTGGCATTTTTAGTTCTAATTGCAGTCATAATGGGGGAATGTGGGGAAACATGTCCCCACAAGGTAAAAAGTCACAATTTTTTTTATCACATTTTGGAGACATTAGATCCACATTCCTGCCATTCCCTGTTGCAGGTGATCGTTGGGATATGTATTCTATAACAAGGTTTCAGCTGATGAGGAGAACCTGCCCTAAATTTCTCACCAGGACACCTAATACGCCTAAATATTTATTAAATATATGATATATTACTTCTCATTTCAGACCAGTTTCCCCTTCTGACGACGAAGAAAGTCTTCTGGAAAGCGATTGTGGAGGAGCTGTTGTGGTTTATTAAAGTAAGAAAAACACTGGCAAAAATGAGCCCTTTGCAAAGTAACAAATAATATGTGCGTGCGTGTGTGTGTGTGTGTGTGTGTGTGAGAGAGAGAGAGAGATTTGGTTACAGAATTTTTAGTTTTTTAGGTTTCTGCACATACACAACTTGTCCAACTGTGTCCCCCCCCCCCCACTTAAACAGACATACAAAGTCTAACTAATTTTGACTGTTTTCCATGGGATTTCGTCAGACATTCGTCACACTCTGGTGACCATATTTATCTAAAGCAGCTTCATATTTTACCAGTTTACACAGTTTGGACATTTTGCCAGAGTAATTCCGGTTAAGTACTCGGCTCACGGGTCCAACAGCCGGAACACCTTGTGACCAGCTGTGTGTCGCTGGCTTGCAGGGCTCCACCGACGCCAAGGAGCTGTCAGCGAAGGGCGTGAAGATCTGGGATGCCAACGGCTCCCGGGAGTTTCTGGACAGCTGCGGGTTCACCTTCCGGGAGGAGGGCGATCTGGGGCCCGTGTACGGGTTCCAGTGGAGGCATTTCGGGGCCGAATACAAGGACCTGCACACGGGTACCGGCGCCTGGAGCCGCTTGGGTTCGGTTGTCGATAAATGCTCTTCATACTCATAGAGCTGGAAACATCCTTTGATGTCGGGCTTCTGATGTTGTACATTCTGGGATTTGAACCGGTGACCTTCCTAATCTACTGAACCACACACCGCCCGCATTTTTGGTTGTAAGTGTCCTTCCCTGACTTGCCCTGGCAGATTACACAGGCCAAGGAGTGGACCAGCTCCAGGCTGTCATAGACACCATTAAGAAGAACCCAGAAGATCGGAGGATCATCATGTGCGCCTGGAATCCCAAAGGTACCTGCTTCTCTCACTGCACTGGATGGGCGATTCATCCTCTTGAAGGTCGTCCGCCTCCTGCATGAGAACCTTTGGAAGCATCAGATTGGGAACCGGGACAGTGGGACCCTCTGATTGGCTCACAGCTAGCAATGTGATTTCATCTCCCTATCAGACCTGCCCCTGATGGCCCTGCCCCCCTGCCACGCCCTCTGCCAGTTCTATGTGTGCGAAGGGGAGCTGTCCTGCCAGCTGTACCAGAGGTCTGGAGACATGGGGCTGGGCGTACCCTTCAACATCGCCAGCTACTCCCTGCTCACCTACATGATCGCCCACATCACAGGGCTCAAGGTAGGTGTGGCCTCCATACGTGGCCATCGTGAACCTCCCGTACGCACTAATTCAGTGGTTCTCAAATTTCTTACAATGTGTACCACCATGATGACCACAGCTTAAATGCAGAGATACCTCCACAAACCATTAGGGGGCGCTCATGTAGCACCAGTAGCACGCATACCACAGTTTGAGAATCACAGACCTCATGTACTCCAAATTGGGTAACTTCATAAACTAAATAAAATCGCAAGAGGGCATCGACCTACAGGAGTGAAGGGTTCCCATGACGATACACGTCTGACCGGTGCAGATGTAGCTTGACTGCTTGTGACTAGTGTTCTGCCCATTCTGAGTTCAGAAGGTGTTTGGTTGGCCGGATCCGGACCCTCCCTGGGGGGTGGGAGGGCCGTGACACTCGCTGAGAAAGGGTGCAACGGAGGGCTACGAGAATGATCTCTGGTCTTAGAGGACTGTCTTATGAGGAGAGGTTAGCTGAGCTGAATCTGTTTAGCCTTGAGCAAAGGAGACTAAGGGGGGACATGATCCAGGTGTATAAGATTCTAACGGGTCTGGATGCTGTTCAGCCAAATGGCTACTTCAATATTAGTTTAAATACTAGAACTCATGGCCATAAGTGGAAATTAGCGGGAGAACATTTTAAAATGAATTTGAGGAAGCACTTCTTTACACAGCATGTAGTTACGAGTATGGAATAGTCTTCCTGCTAGTGTAGTGGAAGCTAAAACCCTGGGTTCCTTTAAATCAGAGCTAGATAAGATTTTAACAGCTCTGAGTTATTAGTTAAGTTCTCCCCAAACGAGCTTGATGGACTGAATGGCCTCCTCTTGTTTGTAAATGTATGTTCTTATGATCTGCCTCCCCCCTTGCCCCCCCTCCTCCAGCCCGGCGACTTTGTCCACACCCTGGGAGACGCCCACATCTACACCAATCACGTCGAGCCTCTGAGGGAGCAGGTGAGCAGCTGCTGGGGTTTTTACTGAGCTGCAGTGCCGCATGTCCAGAGACCAGGAGACACTTTGATCAGGAAACAAAGGCTAGGGGGGGCCCTTCATTAGATAGCCCTGCTGGGTCGGACCCGGTTTTATCTCCAGAACCTTTTCAAGGGTTCACTGAAGCCTTTCTGCACACCGCTGATGTAACTGAGCTGTTATTTTAGCACTTGTGACCATCCTGTTAGCTTTAACAAGTCTGGCCATTCTCTTCTGACCTCTCGCATTAACAAGGTGTTTTCGCCCACAAAACTGTCACAGTCTGGGTGTTTTATGTTTACTGCACCGTTCTCAGTAAACTCTACACACTGTAGTGTGTGAAAATCCCAGGGCACTGGCAGTTTCTGAGATGTTGGAACCACAATGCTTGCCACCCACAATGGCACTATATTTATAACCAATTAGCACACACCTCTTATCCATTCAAATGCTCAGCCAATCAGTAAGTGAACCTCTTGACCCTGTTTGCTTGCTGTATGTATGCATCCACGTGATTGGCTGTTTGGAGGATCAGGCCGTCTGCCTTAACCAGCTGGGATTACCTAATTAACTGGCTCCTGAGGGTATTCCAAGCCCACAAGTTAGATTTTATTTTTTAAAAATAGAAAACGTAACACTTTCATCCCCTCACATCAGTGTGTCTTAACCCAATCCTTGGGGTCTCCCAGACATTCCACATTTTTGCTCCCTTCCTGCATTCCTGAACCAAACGGTCAAGAACACAGAGTACCGGGGGGGGGGTCCATGACGACACTCTGGTTTAGATGGTGTGCTGGCCGGCTTACAATCAGATTATAGCTCTGCTCAGGGACACCCCCGCGCTGCTTTTCCGCGGGGGTGTCCCTGATTGACACACCTTCTGCCCCCTCCAGCTCCAGCGGGAGCCCCGCCCCCTCCCCAAGCTGAAGATCCTGAGGCAGGTGGAGCGCATCGACGACTTCCGTCCCGAGGATTTCGAGATCTGCGGCTACAACCCCCACCCCGCCATTAAAATGCAGATGGCGGTCTGAGGTTCCACCTCACCTCCGCTCCCTGCTTTTTTCCTACTTTAAACATCCAATCCTGTTTTTCTACTGTAAATGTTTATGTGTATAGGTTCGAGTTAAGAATTCACATCTAGACAATTGTCAATTTGATCTTTATTATATTGAATAAAAGGTTTTGATTACATCTAGATTTTGTATGTTTATTAAAAGGCAAAAAGTGCTGTTAAAAATCAGTTCATGTTCTAAAAATCACATGAGATAGAAAACAGTTTATACAAAGATCAGTTTGAATTAAAATCTTTAACAAGCTGTGGAGTGGTCCCTTCTAAGGGTTAAACCATTTGTGCGTGGGTGGGGAGTACTTATTGGTTTCTAAGGCCTTGCCACACCTCCCCCTGGGGGTAGTGGTACTTCCTCACGGACTCTTCCTTCATTTCTGTGGAGTATCCTGGATCCTGGTGAGGCACAGGAGTTGTATCAGTGATGCCCTGTTCTCCTTAATGAGAACCACGTACAACACATTCTACAGTTTCAGAAGTAAGCTGTTAAAGACCTCAGTCGGCAGACTGGTAATTAGTGCAATTATTGGTTGATTTAGTGTACCACTGCTCTCTCACCCCACCAGGGGGCGCACATCCAGCCTTTAATGAGTGGAGTTGGCAGCTTTTCTCCTGCAGTCTGAAGGCATTTAGTGTTTATGCAGGTTTTCAGGACAAGCTTTAAGTCAGATGTTCAAACCCAGGTGTGAGGACTCATCAGCCAATCAGTCCTCTAATTAGTAATCTGATTAGGGGTTGCAGCAAAAACCTGCATACACACCTGCCCATTCTGGATAAGATTGCCCACCCCTGACTCCCTGAGTTAGACTAACTGGGGTCTCAATCACTCATAGTGGTTAAATCTGTCTGTGCCCTGTGATGAACTGGTATTCATACCCTGGGATGGGATAGGCTCCAGCAGCTCAGAACCCTGACCAGGATAAGTGGTTTGAAAAGGAATGGATGGACTGGTGGATTTATCTTTTCACTGTATGTGTTTCATTGCTAGATTCCGTTGTTGCTTGGGGAGAAATTCATGCAAAGAAAGAAACTGTAGACTATCACCCAGAATATCTTTCCTTAAGATCCAGGCATCAGAAGTGACGGGTAATCCCCGGCCACCCTGCTGGGCCTCACCTTCGGAGGCATGTAGCAGGCATCCCGGATCAGCACGGGGCTCTTGAAGTGCTCATGCAGGTGATCCACGTACTCACACATCCTGCAGAGAAAGTGACAGCGGGGAAGGTCAGGCTGCTCAGATCCCACACTGCGGGAAGCTCCTTTACAGCACGGGTCTGAGTGGTGCTGCTTTTGAATCGGGTACAATGGAATATTGCATCGGAACATGCATGCATGAGGCCTCAAACCTGGTCTGAGGAACGGACCAATCGGATATTGTTCACAACCGTCAACAAATCAAAACGAAGGGTTTCTGCTCACTGTGCTAGATGGTTTGACGCACCTGTTGTGGAGGCTGGCCGACACTGATATGTAGTCGAAGAGGATCAGGTGCTGCACGAGCTCGCAAAGCCCCACCCCCCCGGCGTGGGGGCAGACGGGAACTGCAGGGACAACATTCCCACAGTGTTTCTTTAACGTTTTCATGCAAACGAATGTGCGCCTTTGGCTATGTCAGCAATGCTAACAGCTCAACTACCTTCCAAGCGTACGACCCCAGGACTTGAACCAACAATCTTCTGGCGTGAAAATCATTACACCATCATACAACCCAAAATCTTGGCATTTCCAGGAAAAGGTTGCAGGTTTTACAGTTACCTTCAGCGAGTAACTCCCACCTGGAACCACGGGCAATGTGGGATTCTAGATAATGAACTGGAATGATAATTGAATGTAGCTGAACCAGTCCACCTCTGGCATACAATGTCATTAACTGAACAAAAGCAGTACTGACAGTGAAACACAAGGACATTCACTCGATACACAGAAACATCTGGAACAACTTCATGGCCAGCACTGTATGACCAGTACTGGTCGAGGCCAACGTGGAAGCCTGGGCAAGCTTCAGCAACAGCGCCCCCTGTCCAAGACAAAGTGAAACTGTCTTGCTAAGTCAGTGTCCCCTCAGAAGATGGAGCCTTTGCTGCCCCGTATCACCTGCACTGTGTAAGTGAACATTAGCACTGAAATCCCATCAACGGCAGCACCCCTGAAGTGCCACAGGTATATGGTGGATATTAACATCCATAATGTATAGTACTACCCAGTACCATATTAATAATGCTAACGAGAACAGCGCCCCCTACAGGGACATCTGAGGATGTTCACCCTGGAACTTGCAGGCCATTAGCAGCACAGCCAGGTTCTCGTTGACGCTGCCCAGACGGCAGCTGTCGATCTGGACGAATTGCAGGGCCGAGGCCTGGAGCAGCTGCTTGAACATCACGCGGTTGTGGCACTGCAGGGATCGGAGGGATGGGGTCAGAGGTCAGGGATCACAGGAGCCACCATTTACATACAGCAGTTAGGAGGCCTCACAATCCAGGCAAAAACAGCTGCTATAACGTCAACAGATCACATGACTCACCTGCTCCCCAGTGGCCACTCCGATGCCTAGAGGAGCCAGGGCCTGCAATACCGACAAGGCTGCAGGTCAGCATTCTGCCAGAAGGGGGCGCTGTAAGCCCGATGGACAGTGACTGGCAAGAGCTCACTGCTTTAATGAGGACCTTATGGGGCTGAACTGGTGTCAGGCATGTAGATTGCTGGCCAGGAATAGTGGGATAGATATTGCACAACAGGTTTTTTATTTTAAGTACTTGTATTCACATGGATATTTTCCATTTTAAAACCCTTTTCAAATTTTACAGCACATTGAGAGACAGGGAGACTCCATGCTTATTTACGAAAGCATTTAATTTGATCAGAGAGACATCTGTCGTTGGTTTATCTTGGAGGAAGTTACCCCCTCCCAAAGGGGATGCTGTTACACTTCTGCTCTCCATCAATCCATATTTTCCCCTTGGGTTTCTCCTGTCATCTCGGGAATGCGAGGTCAGCAATCCCTCATCAGAAATCCAGAGTAAGCCAGTACCAGTCATACATCTTCTTCTCTACCTCTTTCTTCCTCAGTAATCATTGCCTACATCTCTTCTGTCATATTCCTTTCCCCTCTTCTCTATCTTTCTACCCTGCTTCCTTTTCTTCTCCCTGTCTACATCCCTCTCTCCATCTCTTCTCCCTGACCCATCTCTCTCTCTCTCACTCTTCTCCCAGTCTTGATCCCACTCTCTCTTTTCCCACTCACCATCCCTCTCTCCTCCCTGACCCATCTCTCTCTCTCTCACTCTTCTCCCAGTCTTGATCCCACTCTCTCTTTTCCCACTCACCATCCCTCTCTCCTCTTCTCCCAGTCTCATCCCACTTTCCTTCTCTTCTCCCACTCTCCATCCGTCTTTCCTTCTCCCACTCTCCATCCCTCTCTCCTTTCTTCTCTTCCTCAGCTTTCCCTGCTCTCCCGTTCCTCCCCCTCATCATTTTCTATGTCATCTCTCCTCTCATTTTCCCAGACCCACCTTGGAGATGGTGGCGTGCCCCAGGATGTCGTCGGGGGAGGTAGGTTCCTCGATCCACAGGGGCTTGAATTCCGCAAGCCTCGTCACCCAGTCGATGGCTTCCCCCACATCCCATCTCTGGTTGGCATCGATCATCTGGAAGAGCCAGAAGGCACCTCAAATCAACCAACCAGGCGTGCTGATATTACAGGCAGATGGCCAATCAAAGTAGAGGGGCAATGATGGTATGCCACTTCCTGGATCTAGTCCTCAATGAGGTCATGGTGGAGATGTGTACCAAGGTGTTGTCAGGGCCGATCGTCTCTCTGATCAAACGACAGCGACGAATGTCGTCTTGAAGATCCGCCCCAACTTTGACCTTGAACCTGTACCAAGAGCAGGGCACCTACTCAAGATTCCATTATTTGTCATGAACAGAGATATACAAGTACAGCATGTAGTGAAATGTTCACAGAACAGCAAGCAGAACTTCCAGTGTTTACAACTCTAACCATAGTAGTAGCTTCCTAAGAAGCAGTTATCTCATTCTCAAAAAAATAAATGGATCACAGCTCTAGAAAGACCAGTAAATGGATTCTCAGGGAAGATTACAAAGTGATCCTCATAATATCACTGAAAGTGCAATTTGCATTCATTCTCTTGGCAGACTTTCAGACATTGGGTGACTTATGGGGACCATAGGGATAAACACAAGGGAAAGAGTGTTATTTTCTACAGTGTCGAATGGCCGAGAATAAATACATCAGCAATGCACATCATTAAGAAAGGGGACACGGTGTTGCAGAGCCTCCAATCTGCATGGCCCCCGAGAGTCAACAAAACAGCCAACAGCACACCCATTCTGCTACAACGCTGGATGGCAGGAAAAGGCTGGTAGGTCAGAGTCATTTTACTCTGAGACATCAATTAGATGGCAATTTCCTTTATCTCAAGAGAACCTTTTCCCAAAAAAAGAGGCGAGATTCTGTATTTTAGGAAAAGAGCTTTAAAACTGCTCCCTTTAAAAGGTAAAAAGGCTGAAGACGACTGCATCAATAATATCAACATCAATAATAAAATAAGCAAATGGTCTTTAATACGCGAAAAAGAGAATAATGTCTTAAGGAGCTATTAAACTTCTGAAATACAGCAGCAAATAACCATGAAAAATTCAGTGATTATCATAAAATAATTGTTATAACCCACTAAGTACTCCATAAGATTAAACTCTGTACTAATCCTCCTACTGTGGGACTGACCCCATATCCACCTGGGTCGGGCTGGGACAGAGGTCTAAGGTTCTCTCACCTGGTCCACTTGCAGTTCAGAGCCTTGGTGCAGAGCTATAGAACCAGAGAAATGGACAAAGGTCACCTTCACTGATGCAGTTTAGGTGGGATGACAGGTCACAGATCCAGTAGACCTCAGACGCACATTTGAAACCAGTTATCTAGAGCAGAAAGCCACAAATCCAAGGGGTCATTAGCATATGTGGATTCTACAACTCCTTCATACAATTAACATACTGAAGGCTTAATTAATTTACAGAAATAATTAGTTCAGATAATATGTCAGGCAAACTAGGACCTTGGACTGGGAGTCTAGAGCCCAGATTGGGCACAATCATTGCAGACAGGTGGTTTTGGTTCTGTACTGCAACTTCCTCCACTCAGCAGTGCCTTTAGGGCGGCGCCATAGAGACCTGTTTGAGCTGCGGGTCTGTGTAGCCGATCCAGGCGCAGGACGTGGTGTATGCAGGGTAGCCCTCACTCAACATCTGCTCCTCTGTAGTTCAGTGGGAGACACGACTAGGTGAAATTCAACCTGACTGTGGGGTTATGTAAATGATGGGGAGGGGCTTAAATGCTGACAGATGATTGGCCATTGGAGTGAATATACAGGGAAGCAGCTCATAATATAAATTATGCTGGGTTACATTTATACCCGTTTTGATAGCTTGATTGGTAGTAATTAATTACAGTATTCACCCATCCCTCTTCCAACCACTTATCCAGTACAGGGGCACCAGGGCTCACTCAGGTAACTGTTTTTTGATTCATGAGGATTAGTGATTAGAATGAGACATTATTATGACGCCTGCCGCCAAGGGTATGATCAGAGTGCACCGTGAAGCTGTGATTTAGAAGCTTAACTTAAATCGCTCCACGCAACACGGAGCGGCAGGCAGATCACCCCCACATTACAGAGCAGATGGACCGATCCATATCGCCTGTAAGCCAGTAAGCCAAAGGGTCAATGACTGGAAAGGGATAGGGTCCAGGTGAGGATACAGTCAGGGCGGGACACAAGGCTGCTGCAGTGAATAATGTGAACAGTCTTATGGAGTCTTATAGCACTGGTTTCAGATCTGTTGGCCACTTACGCACCTCTCGCCTGTCTCCCCTCCTGGCCTTTCAAAAGGATGTCTGGGGGAAAAGAAAAGTTCTAACTGACAAAAGAAGTGATGTGTAGGTGTCCTTGGCTGTCCGAGGCATGATCAGGGAAACTGGCTCGATTTTAGCATGAAATGAAAGATTCAACTAAAAATACATAGAAAGGAGATACACAAGCCTACTGAGAACTCTTCATAGCCAATCACAGAAACCTTTAAACTAAAACAGACCAATCACATTCAAGTACATCCTCAATCCCACACACCTTACTATACTTGTGAATGGGAAGCTCTCTTGACTTCAGAAGCTGTATTTCCAAACACTGATTGGTCAGGGCATGAATATTAGCTACAGTTACTCTAAAGTAACAAGAATGAATACACAAACCCTCAGGGTTGTCCTGAAATATACATAATTACCATTATTAAGTCAAACACCGGCCACAGATTAGCAATTAGCAATCTGGCATGGTATTGGTCCTGCCACTATCTACGCAGCCAACAGTAAACAGGTCAATGAGTAAGAGGGGTCTCTGGTGACACAGGACTGAGAATACTGTGTCTCAGAAAGACATGAAAGAGGGGAAATGGCTTATTAAAAATATCAATAACAATCAGAAACCCACCCAAGGCCTCCTCTTCTGTGAGGGCATCAGTGATATATCTGAAGTCAATGCAAGATACCAGCTGTTTGGGGTCCTGGTGGAGACATAACGATCACTGCCAAGGTATCTGCTGCATGAAGCTCTCTACCAGGTTCATATTCCTGCAGGGCGGCTGGTCCTGCTTTAGTCCAGCATCTAGGCTGAATCTAGAATCGCGGCCGATGAACTTGCCGTCTCAAATGCCAAACCTACACTGACTAAGCCTGTAAGGGCTTGTTAGGCTCGAACATGAATAAAAAAAAAATTATATGCTTTTATAAAAGTGTTCCCAGAAACAAAACCAAGCAGGGTGAAGCAGCTTTTAGTCTCTATGCTCCCTGTCTGTGGAACTAACGTCATGAAGACCTGAGGTCTGCTAACAGTCAGCTCATTATAATCAGGGCTTAAAACATTACTGTTTGCTGCAGGTTTTCTACAAATTATATCAGCAAGTGTTAATTCATGTACTGCCGATACAATGCAACATCTTTTTTAATCAACTGTGAATTTTGGCCTTTAGGTTTTGTTTTTATTGTCTTTTTTAATGTGATTTTAACCTCTTCTATTTTTGATATATCCCTATGCCTGTGTAAAGCACTGTGAATTGCCTTGTGTTCAGAGGTGAACATTTCAGGTCCAGAAAGTAAATAATCCAGTCCAGGATTTTGTTTCAACCAACCAGTAGAGCACAAAGATTCACAGTGACATAGTGCTCAACCGATTGGTTGAAGCAAAATCCTGGTCTGGATTTTTACTTTCTGAACCTGAAATTTCCACCTCTGCTTGTGTTTTAATTGCGATATATAAAACTTGCCTTGCCCATTTCTGAGTGAGAAATGCTTGGCAAGCAGAAATGGCCAACAGGACTCAAAATTTAGACTGAAACTTCTTGTTTAAAACGCCATACCTAGGCTAAGTAGATTCATAAAGACAGACATGAATAAGACAAAAAAATATATATATATGCTCTTTGAAAATACTAGTAAATAACCTCTAACTCAGACCAACTCACCATATCTACAAGGAGCTTCCAAAGTGGCTGAAAACAAGAAAGAAAATACTCCTTCAAAAATACACAAATACCAAGTAGCAAAGAACTAATCAGAGAAGACAGAGCAACACTACATGGATAAGCAGAATTCCAGGAGCCTGTAATATAGATATAAATGTACTAGACAGGTTCTACCTGCCAGCTATAGTTAAAGTGCCATGGTTGTCCTGGGCAGATCTTTATTGCTAGCTAGCACACTCCAGAGACATTTCTGGACTGGGCTCGGCTCTGCAGGATCTGTATGTGAGCTGGAGGCTCAACTCTCTCTAAATCTTTGGTGGTTTGGTCTTTGAAGTGACAAACGTAATCATTGTAATATTATTCCTCAGCAGAGCAACTGTAGCAAGTGCCCAGTTCTAATTACAGGTAAAATGCTTATGAACTTGTTAATAATATTCCGGACTCACCTTCCCCTCTGCCTTAGCCCAGAGGTCCCAGACGGCGTTGAGGACAGCAGCTGTAGCTAGGTGAATTACCCCCTTCTCAGGTCCAATCTGCCCCCCAGAGCCAACACAAGATGGGAGACTCAATTTCCAATTCAGGTATCCAGAGACACACAACCACAATACCCAGAATTCCCATCATACCATAACTGCTCAAAGAGCACAATACTTATCATGGCTACCAAATAACCATTTTACCAAGGACATCCTTCCCAGAGTAAATTCACCAGAAAATATTATGGTCAACAAATGTCACCAATCCTAAAAAAGAACCTTGGACAGACAACTGGAACGTGTCCAACTTTTCACTCTCTGATGTTATGAAGAGATATTTATGTTGAGGGTTAAAAGCATGTCCTGGAAGAACTCATATTATTCCATTTTACTCACATTAATGTCAAGGCCCAGCCACAGCTGATTGAGATAATCACTTTCAAATAAGGGGTCCATTTTAAAGTTATCAATCAGTATAACTGCATTTCCCATAATCCCCTGCTGCTGTGACAAATAGCCGCTCTTCTGACCAATCAGTAACACCCGGAGGGGACAGAGTGCACCGTTTATTGCTAGATATGTCACTCACCCATCGCATCTGGCCGTCGCTGGTGAGCAGCCTGTAAAAGCTGCGGAAGTCGCCCACTATGTCTCCCAGCGCCTTCCCGACCACAAGCGCCGAAAGGGCTTCTACGGCACACACCACTGCATGGGGCACAGACGTCGTGCAGCAAGTCAGCACACCCCACAAAACCAGAGACGGTGCCAGAAATGTAACAAGACGCTGGTGCCCTTTTATTGGGCTACAGTGGGGTGGTATCGAAGTGGAACAGATTATGTTTAATTAATCCGTCCATTTTAATTATCCGAGGCCAGGCAAGCATGGGTTCGTTTTTTTCTGGGGCTCCACTCAATAAGTCAATCTGAGGTGGGATTCAAACCCCCAGCTCGGTAGGATTAAGGTAATAGAACTGAGCCTCTGTGAAGCCTATAAACGATCAGTTTTTTAGGTACTATGACTTGATTTACATAATTTATTTTAGATCTAATTAATATGTAGCAGTTTATAAATGCTAATTATTTAATAGCGTAATCGAGAAAACCACATTCTTCTCTACACTCTCAAATCTTTATACTGTCTAGTCTTTATGCACAGAAGACGAACATCCACCAGATGGCGCCAGGACGCATATAGATACTATATACATTAATGTTTAATTTTGGAATACGAAACAAATCTCAGGTAAACGGCTTTTTACAATACAAACCTCACCTATTTCTGTGCCTTTTCCTAGCGTAAAGGTCAGGCCATAGCCCCTGGATCCCCGGTCCGTCTCGATAACTACATAAGCAACCGAATAGTCCGGATCGTTGTGCTGCGGGGAATCACATGATAAGGGCGTTAAATCCACACTGCAGTTTCCAGCTAAAAACACAGCGACTGCGATAATATGATCCACTGCAAAAACGGCACATTTCACATAGCATACAGTCAACTAATCGTGTACTTATTATTAAATGTAAGTGCACCTACCATCGCATCCGAGCCGTGCTGCTCCAGCGAAGTGGGGAACCTAACATCACTGACAGTCACCTTTATGATGGTTTCCTTCATGCTGTCGTTTGGGATCCACGGTCTAACTTCGCTATTCCTAACTATCGGTTTGTTTTCTTTTCCTCGGTGCAGATCGGGTCAGTGTTCACGTGCGTGTCACGTGAGGTAACACGTGGCTGCCGCGCGCGGCGATATATACTGCACGGTGAAGGTAATAAATCCAAAATCAAATTTACTTTCACATTGCATCACTCTGGTTTAAGCCTTCCTTTTTCCCCCCCAGAGGCAGACATTTCAGGTTCACAAAGTACAAATCCAGACCGAGATTTTATTTCAACCAACCAGTTGAGCATAGAAAGTGCTCAGCTGCTTGGTCTAAAGAAAATCTCGGTCTGGATTTCTATTTTCTGACCCTGGACTTTACACCTCTGCTTTTTACCGAAGAAAAACACCACCCTAAAACCCTTGTGAGCAAGAACTGTGACAGGCAGACAGGTAAAAGCATGAAATGTTTTATTTTTCCACTGTACATATTTGTCAGGTTAGTAACCGAACTTTTTTCTTTCATGATTTACATGTCACCGGTCATTAAAATCAGTTTTTTTGTGCCCTCTTCGTTTAAAACTTCTCTTTAAAAAAAGAAAATAAAAGTTTTCACGACTCTGTACAAAGCCCTTGTAAAATCCTTACCATGGCTAAGGGAGGGGACAGGGCGGCATGGTCCGAGCACACAGCGTATGGAAGAGAGCTCACTTCTTCGCGCATGCGCACAGTGACGAAGCGGACTCAAATGCACGGTGACATTCAAGGCTGGAGTACTTTTCGCAAGCTGATGGTGTCACAGTGTCACAGTACTCTCTCAAAGATGGTCCCACAATGCGATCGCATAAGTGAAAACATCAGAAAAATAAAGTATTTCAATCCGGTAGTGTTCTTGTGGGCTTTCCTGGCAGCCAGCTCCAGTCGAAAACGAGCGGTGAGGCCATCTGTCGATAAAAGCGTCTCTGAATTTCTTCAGGTGCACCTGTTACCTTTAATAACATAGACTTGTAAACTAATTGCCCTCCTTAAAAACATTGTTTTTGCAAATAAAGCTCTTTTGCTGGTAATGAAATAAGATGCGGGAGAAACACCGGCAAATTAAAAAAAAAAAAAGATCAGTGAAAATAATTAGACAGTACTTTGGCTAGCTGTGCGAGTTAGGCTGAGCCCTTACTCCCACTGACTAAAGGCTTGCAGTACAGAAATTTCCGCCCCTGTGATTTGGCACACAGGAGCTAACAGTGAAAATTCAACTGACTTTGAAGAGTAAAAACGGATCTCCTGAGGCGAAAAAAGCAAGGCCAATACAGAGCGCCGCGGACGCGGAACGGCTACACTGCCCCCTAGCGTCGACAAACAGCCTCATATCTTACCCTGACATTCAAACTGAGGAATCACATCACCTCAAATCGACAGCCATGTAAAAATGATACTCGCCCTGAATGTTATGCATTTGCAGTGAAATAGAAATGCTCCCATGGACCTGTTTAAAGATATGGTGAGGAGATTTACAAGGGGGGTGGGGGTGGGAATTGCAAGAACGCTTCAAGTTAATTCATTCACACACAAGAAAATTAAAATTAGTTAGCCTACGAAGCTCCGCTATGGAAGTTTCCTACACATCTATAAGGGATAAAAATCGCTCTTCCAGCTGAACTGGCTGTGTTTCTCTCATTCATATCCATTCACGACGATAAAGACGTCAGATGATCAAACAACCCGGTTTATCGTTCCAGACACCCGGCAGGGTATCGCAGATTCGATCGGTTTCACAGTACGATGCGACGTTCGAGATTTTACAGGACTGGACAATCACACTAAATACTTGGTCACCTTAAAAAAAAAAAAAAAAAGTACAGTTGATTCAAATGCATGAAAATAAACGGGAGGGGGGGCAGAGAGAGGGGATTGTCCATAAAATGACCAGTGGTACCTGCAATACGTGTCTGATGTGTCCAGGATTAGTGTTGTAAATGAAAACAAAGTGATTGAAAAATTACATTGAGACAGGATGGGGGTTGGGAGAGTGTGAAATGAAAACAATGAAATGAGTGGTTTTTTTACAGCCCCAGCAGGCTCCTAGCTGGCCTCCCAGCAGACCACATCTCCCAGAATGCACCACTCCCCCGCCTCTACAGGTTGTCCCCGGGCTGGTACTGCGGCTCCGTGGCGGTAAAGTAGTCCTCCAGGAAGGACTGGATGTACTCAAAGGTGGGCCGCTCATCCGGGTCCTTCTTCCAGGTCTGCTTCATCATCTCGTGGAGCGACTCGGGGCAGCCCTGGGGGCAGGGCATCCGGTAGCCCCTCTCCACCTGCTCCAGCACCTCACGGTTCACCATGCCTGTCGGGGGAGAGAGGGGGGGGGGGCGCACGGCTCACCATCAGCCCAGAAACACCCCCACCCCCCTGGGTCCTGCCCCAGGACAGCGAAGCCACACTTGTGTCGTTCGATGTCTTGGTTTACTCGAACATTTGAAAATGTCATTTCCTCTCTTCGAGGCCTTTCATTAAACACCGCAAGTAATACATTAAGGTGAGGTAAAGCTTTTAAGGGGAATGATCAACAGCAAAGGTTTTGCGTGTTACTTTGGTCGAACTATTCATAGCACTGGAATTGGGGATCTGAGCAGTGACGTAGGCGGGAGCCGTTCCGATCGTTCTTCTGCGACTTAACCAGACACGTCACAGGTCTGAGCCATTTGAGGCTGCAGTCCTGACTGATTCGTTTAACTCATGTTTTAATGGTGATGCTCTCAGTTTGAGAATCACATACATCACGAAAGCCCCAATTCAGGGCTGACTTTCCGAAGACCTTTGTATAGAGAAAGAATTCAATATAACAACCGTCAGGGAGATTAGGTGTCTCGGCTAAGCCCTCGATGTCTCAACATCCTAGTGATGCCCCTTGATTTGCCAACAATAACATGAAAACTATGTTTGTTAAGTCTTAGGAATTGTGCTGTAGTATCGTAAGAGATTCCAGAGCAACCTCAAGTTTGAAAGGAGCCACAGAGGTCAAAGGGCAACCTGGTTAACCCAAAACGAGTCCGGTTTCAGCCAGCCTCACATGGAATTTCCTACGAAAAAGGTCCTTGAGCATTGACGTTAAGCACAGCTCAGCATTCCCTACAGTCTAAGAGCCGCCCTTCACAATGGAAACACCACATGGCCTTACAGATTCCTGCAGACGTGTGAGACGACTTGCTTGTGTGTGTTTGATGGTCTTTTAAAGGAGCCATATGAAAATCTCCAAATTCGTATGACGCCTGCTGAGATCAGGGATGTGGGAAGTTACGCAGCAGCTTTTCATTACTACCAAGCTGCAGAGTAGTTACTAGCTGGTAATGTACTAATGAGTCACACAAGGAATGAAAAAAGCTGTTCTCTGTGCTGCATCTATTCTACGAAAACTGAAATCCGTCTGGAGGAAGGTGCCAATTTGCTGCTCAGTTTATTCACAAAAACAATGCATAAGCATTTTGCTGCACAGTAATAAATTCATCTGCGCGCTGGGAGACTTGTGTACGACGTGTTCAATATTGGGAGTTATTTCTGTTCCAGTCTGCTGGGACTGTATAATGAACACCCAACTGATGTTCAACTTTGCAGCGAAGGGCTGTGAAACAAGATGAGATGGATCGACCGGACATGTGTTCTTCACAAACCTTAGTATTGTTAATGTAGATATTACCACATTACAGGCTATTCCTTTAAATTTTCCTTTTTAAATTTGTGATTCATGTTGAAATAAACACTAGATGTATTTGTCTCAGCTTCATTTAAATTTGCAGCATATTTTTTTGCTAGTTTTGATTAAATTCCATGGATTTTGAAGCTCCTTTCAAACCCAGCATGCTGAAGCTCCTTTCAGCTCTGTACCGTGAGGGGGGGCATGTGCTGTAATAATGCACACTGTTTTTAATAATCATACATTTATACTGTACTCAGGGGTATAGGAACTTGGGGGTACAGGAACTTGGGGGGGGGGGGGGGTGCAATGTGAACCTCAATACTTAATTTGGATTCATTCATCTCCCTCCCAATACAAACCTTTGAATTTAAAGTCTTATGTCTCCACAAATATGAAAAGCTCTCTCCAACACCTGACTTTGGTTTTTCATAAGTTTTTATTTAAATAGCTTTAAATTGATGCATTTCACACATTGCTTTTATGGTGTGGCTCTTATAATCGCAAATTAAAAAAAAAACAGGCGAACCCCCCCCCCCCCCCATGGTGCACAGTAGGGCCACCAGGTGTCACTGACAGGCTGCTCAAGCTTGAGGAGATAAAGGAGCCAGCTTTGTGCAGGCCTGACTAGCGTGTGCAGACTGGAGACAAAAGCCATACAGGGGAGAGTGGCCTGTGATTGGTCAGATCGGGCTCATCTCCGCACTTCAGTGTCACACTCGTATTGAGGGAGGATGGACCTGCGACATCCTTCCTGCACCTCAGCCAGGAGCCCATCCATGGAGTCTACGGTCTGCTAGCTACATGTCATCTCCTCCCCATTCTGCCTGGTCCCTGCTGGTCCTACAGGGTGACTGTCACCTGCGGTCTCTACCCTCATCTGCAAGCCCAACCACAGGCAATATCTAACTGTCAGCTCGAAAAGGGAGCCCGTGAAGCGGTTATTGAAGGAATGAAGAGCTTCTGACTAAGATGGGCGGGGCTACACGGCACTATCAATCACAGACCGGTTACACCCACCTCCAACAGGGCCAGAACATGTGGTGATTGACCGGTGCCCCAAACCCCACCCACCACAGGTCTCCAGTCTTCATTCCATCGCTCACTTTCCCCACACGGCTCTGGTTTATTTTCCGCTGAACTCGGCCCCTTTTACCGCTTGGTACGGCCTGTCAGCGCTTCCCCCGAACATGTCCGAGCGGGCTGGGAACACCCGCCAGCAGGGCCTCTCCAAGGCTAAACCGCCTGGCAGCCGGTCCCTGCGTAGCAGTCAGTCTGCATCATGTGGGATATCCCTTTAATGTCCTCCTCTGGCCATGTCCCGAGGCTCCGAGAGCCGCCCCGAAGTGCGGAGTTTCACTCTCAAGGACGTCGCCGACTGCAGCTTCCCAGACAAACAGAGTGTCCCCGAGCGCAAGAGCGCCGACAGGGTGAACTTTACACAGAGCCGGAGCCTAGAGAACACTATGCAAACACACACATCACGTTCCTCGGACACGCTCATGCGCACCACGTTCCCATAACTCGACAAGTAGGCCGTGGGTTCAAATTCCACGGAGCACCCATCCCTCCACTGTAAGTCGCTTCAGATACAAGCATCAGATAAATGAATTAATGTAAATATACCAACATCTCCAGCTCACTCCCTGATATAGCCAGATGTGTCACTGAGCAATTCAGGTTCCTTACTTCCCCCCCCCCCGGACTTTGACTTGTCCGGGACCCTATCCAACCTGTCACATGGACAGCGTGGGCCCGCCCTCTCTCAGCGGGTCATCAGCTCACGCGATCCGCATTCGACGCCCTCGGTCTTCACGCTTACCTAACCACACCGACCCACCCCAGAAGCCGCACCCCTCCCCCGACCCCCCCACCGGCACGTGGATTATTTTCACAGAGATTCCGGTCTGAATTCGCACCCTTTACATCTGAATCATGAACCCCCCCGCAGGATTTTTCCGGTAAACATTCAACTCTGAGTGGGACTGCCAATGTGGTTGGATCCTCCTTTCCATTAATCTGCATTTTATTCTCAACATTAGGCTGCAAGCGCCAGGAATTGTACATTTTAAATTAAAGCATGAGAATAATACCAGTGACGTTTGTCATCTTTCGTTAATCCCTCACTAAACATTTAAATACCCTGTCCCCGGAACAGGGAATTTCCTCCTGTGTGGGAGGGGGAGGGTTTGGGGGCAGGGCGGTGGGGGGGAGAGTTTGAAACACAATCCAAATTACAGACAGCGCACACACGGACCACCTCTCAGGGACAAAGGCACCATCTGGCCTGGTTCTAGGATTAGCGCTGACAATTGACTGAATCTCTCTCTGAAATAATGCGACACTGGCCTGCTGGCATTTCAGGAAGCAGAGGGAATAATTCCTTTGTGTTTCAAGCCAGTGTTTCTCAGCCCAGCCCTTGAGGACCCGCAGACAGTCCACAGTTTTGCACCTTCCCAGCTCCCAGCCAATCAAGAACACCAAATACCTGGTAGGTATAAAGGAACAACAGCTTTCGGTATTTACAGGAAAACTAAACCTTCACCAATACTAAATCAGCCTTCTGGTTAAACTGACCTTTCTTCACTCTCGAAGCCACTGGACCTCTGCAGCATACCCAGAACATGCAGCTTTTTAATGACAGATTATCAGGTATATTTGTATGGGAATATTTTAGGTAACCTATATAATGTGTATTACGGTTACTCATGTGTATATATTACAGTAAGGAGAACAAGCGACACACACAGACGGCTAGGAGACTGTACTCATTCCACCAAAACAGCTGCATGATTCAACCGTATTCATGTGCTAATTAAACAGCATCTTACACTACCAGTCTGGGAAGCTGACTAATAACACTGTAAACGGATAGCCAAACAAAAATACCCTAATTATCTAAACAAGTACTCCTACAAATTACAGAAAGGCAGCAGGAAGTGGGCAGGTGCAGCGACGAGTTACTACGGCTGCTGACAGGTCACCCAACAGGGACAAAAGGGGATCACCTTGCAGATGCCAGGGGGAGAAGATGGAGGTCCTTCAAACCGGACAGCGAAGAGAGCCAGCCAGGCTCGACATTCGGACCTTCACAGCGAGAAACCAGCCAGCAAAATGTCACGTTTAATGGTGAAATCTTCACCCTTTGGCCAGAACTACAGACGTATTCAATTAAAAATTACACGGAAATCAAAAAAGTTAAGTGTAACCGCATCATCCCCTTGCTCCCTGAAGGATGTCGGTGGTCAGGTGCTGTCGTTTTTACACAAGTGTGTGTGTTTCACCGTTATCCGCCAAACAGCTCTGTGCTCTCAACATTTTCCTTGACGTACTTCACTGGATCTACCCTAATAAAGCAGACAACCGGTTAACTCTCTAGTAATGAGCAAATATAATTACACTAAATTTGGACAGAGTGCATAATTCAGGAGATAAGCAGTTGGACTACAGATGGTTATCGAGCTCAAGCTCTCTTGACCAGCACAGGCAAGGCTCCGGGCCCCGCAAACATCCCAAACATCTCCGAGCGGAAATCCCACGAAGGAGACAGGTGCAGCCTACGAAAGCTCTCACGCCTGGTCCTCACAGCTGCCGAAGCCACGCCAAACGACAAGTCTCATTTCGGACAGCGCCGGTAGCAGAGGGAACTGGGTAATGGTTATAATGAAGGCCATTAAATCTGCCCCATGTGCATACACGTCTGCAAGTGACAGCGCCCATTCTGGCGCCTAGATTGGACTGACATTTGTAGGCTCGGGGATTGAGGGCAGCTGCCTCTCTCGGGTCACCAAAAGAGCGCCCCCTGGTGCTCACCTGGATAAGGCACTCTGCCCTTGGTCACCAGCTCCGTCAGCAGGATGCCGAAGGACCAGACGTCCGACTTGATGGTGAAGCGGCCGTACAGCGCCGCCTCGGGCGCTGTCCACTTGATGGGAAACTTTGCCCCTGTCAGACAGAAGCGGGAAAACCGCCAGTTGGCGACGAGCACGTCATGCCTCTCGGCACCACCAGGTGTCGCCAGCGAGCCTGGGATCCCGAACCACGGGTGATGGTGAGTTCAAGCGGCAAAACCGCTTCCTAAGGCGGCAGATCCTCTAAGGACTTTTTTTTTAAAAGACTATTTACAGATTAAAAAGTATTAAATTACAGCTGTTTAGCGGATACTGGCTTTCACCGCACAGATCCCATTGGATGCCTGGAGTATCACGATGGAAGATTACTCCACATGAAATCAGAGATTGAGATTGTTTTTCACAGACAGAAAAATGTAATAAGCCCCATTCTGAGCTGGTTATATAATCACTACCAGTTTTCCTAGACAAAGACAGGATGCAAAAAAAAAATAAAATCTGTCTAAGGCAAACAGAGATAAGACAACCTCACACACAAGTCCGGGGGAGTTTCCCCCTCCCCTTGTATTTTGAAAAGATGCCCCCCCCCCCCTTCCGGTGGTGTAAAGGCTCGGCGGCTGGGCCACCTTGTCTGGCTGTGTACTCGTTATCCTCGATGAGCCTGGCCAGGCCGAAGTCAGCGATCTTGCACACCAGGTTGTCCCCGACGAGGATATTGGCGGCCCGTAGGTCGCGGTGGATGTAGTTCATCCTCTCGATGAACGCCATCCCGTCCGCG